TCTATTTTTTGCGATTGTTTGCTTATTAGCGCAGTCTTAACATTTGTAGTACTCTTTTGAGGCCTCTATCTTCAAATTCCCACTACAAACCAACAAAATAAACAAAAATCTGAGATTAGTCAATTCAAATCTGCTATGCTCTCATTTTGAAAGCTTATAGTCCAATATCTCCTTAAAAGCAGAACTTACACCACCAAATTTCAAGTATTTCCTCCACATTTAATCCAAATCTCCTTCATCTCTATCAACTTAACGTAAATATCCTTCCGTCTACAACAAATCCTCCTCTATAAATTGGAGTCTTTCAATCCGCAGTTGACTCAATTAGACTATCCTAAACTTTCCTTCACAAATATAGTAAGTTCTAAACCTTCTTTCTTTGGAACTTTAATCTCTTTCCTTTTTTGATTGACCTCATGAAACTCCATCAGACATGCTCTATATGCTCCTTATTATAAGCTTGAAAGATCCCACACCAAAGGGCATATAGAAGCTACTTTTAATCAGGCTATGCCATGAACTTATAGAAGGACCAAGCTATGTCAATGTGAATTTGATGAGTTTAGGGAGCTTCCCTATGAAAATTGGATCTTCTTCTCCAAATCATCAATATTGTGGGATTTGTAGGGCAGAGTTAGAAAGTCTTTGAGGTTTGTATGGATAAGTTTGATATTCAAGGGATGGGGGCCTCTATCTTAATTTAATGGATATATTATTGATCCCCTTATTCATTATTTCAGTCAAGGAGTTTGAAGGTGGGGAGTAAGTGGGTTAAAAGAATCCGAAGTTGGATTAAAAAAGAGCTTTGTCTGGTTGAAATTTTGGATTTAGGCATTTACCGGATGAAATTGATAATGATGAGATCTCTTAATGTGTGTGTGATGGGAGGTTTGTTGCACCTGAGCTCATTTAGTAAAAGATAGCTATACATACAGTTTTGGCTGAAAAATTTGTATGGTTTGAAGTGTTGGTTTACGCAATCATCTTCTATGATGTCTTGGACACCACTATCTTTAGGACTTCACCATGAACATATAACTCAGGCACAATAAGTGACTAGAGCACCCTAAGTTATGATGAATTTGAGTTGATTTATGGGTTAAACTTGTTGATTGAGAATTGCCTAGGGCTGTTTGGGGTCCACCTTGATCAACATGCATTTGATTAGGTTGACTGGCTTTAACTGGGTATAATTTTAGTTGACTAGTGTTTGATGTCACAACCTGACCCGGGGCTTGGAATTAACTAAGGCTAGAACAAACGGTCGGATGGGTGAATTAAATTTTCTATATTAACTAACAATTTAACTATTGAAAAAACCACTAAAAATTAAAACAAAACAGTTTAATTTATAATTACCTCATTTTAATTTAATTTGAAGTACTTTCATCTGTAAAGTGTGAGTTAATATGAAAATTTAATTCACCTGTTCGACCATCTGTTCCTGCCTTGGTTAATTCCGAGCTCAGGTCGGGTCATGAAAAAAGTGGTATCAGAGACCAATGTTTAAGATTAATTAATTGAATATCAATGAAAGAGCTAATAGGATAATTATAAAAAAATTATAATAATTGAAAACTTAAAGAGGTAATTATTGTACATCCAGATATAGTAATACACCCAAAATCATAGGAAATTGAATAAATAGGAATAAATGATAATTCCAATCTAAAAATAAATATAAAATAGAAAAAGTAACAACTCATAATCTAAGAAATTAATTTATTTTTCATAACTTCTCACAAGAATAAATTATTTCCTAATATGACTTCCAACACTCCCTCTCAAGTTGAAATCTTGTTGAAAATCATGCTCAACTTGGATTTGAAAACATCAACTAATGTGCGTGGGAGATCCGATGAAGTAGAGCTAAGAAGTCTTCATTTCGTACTACAACTGTCTTTGATTGCAGTTCTTGTAGCGTCTGTAGGTAGGTATAAGACTTCTACTGGTAATACTGCAGATGAATTTTCAGGAAAGTAGACAACCCAAAGTTGTCTTTGGCTGCATGTAGGTAGGTGGAAGACTTCTACAAGGAAGTTTGCAGAGGAATTTGCAGGAGAGTAGACAAACTGCAGGAAAAATAAACTTCTAATTGACTGTGATTCTCTTTGACTGCAGTTTATGCAATATTTGTAGTTAGATAAAAGACTCCTACAGATAATGCTGCAGGAGAGTTTGCAAGGAAGTAAACAACCTGCAAAAAAAAAGGCACTAGGTATGACCTGAAAAGAAAAGAAAAAAAAAGGAAAAAGTACCGAAGGAGGGCTTGTTGCAGGAAAAACTTTAGAGGGCCTGGAAAGGCTTCGTAGGAGGGCCTGCTGCACGAAGTCTTTCCTGCAGGAAAGGCTTCGGAGGAGGGCCTACTGCAGGAAAGACTACGGAGGAAGGTCCGTTGCAGGAAAAAGCTTCAGAAGAGGGCCTAATATAAAAAAAAGCTCCAGAGAATGGTCTGCTGTAAGAGGTCTGCTGTAAGGGAAGCTCTAGAGGAGGGTCTGCTACAGGAACAATTCCAGAGGAGGGCCTGATGCAGGAACAATTTCGGAGGAGGGTCTGCTGCGGGAAGAATTTTGGAGGAGGGCCTGCTGCGGGAAGAATTCCGATGGAGAACCTGCTGTGTAGGGAAAAACTCCAGAGGAGGGTCTGATGCAGGAAAAGCCTGAAGGAGGGTCTGATGAAGGAGAAGACTTCAGAGGAGGGTCTGATGTAGGAGAAGGCTCCAGAGGAGGGCGTGATGCTGAAGAAGGCTCTGGAGTAGGGCTTGCTGCAAGAAGAATTCCGGTTGAAGTCCTGTTGCAGAAAAAGCTCCGGAGGATGGCCTGATATAGGAAAAAACTCTGGAAGAGAGCCTGCTGTAGGAAAGCTTCCGAGGAAGGTCTATTGCAGGAAAGATTTTGGAGGAGAGTGATAACACACTTATGGATAATGCAACGTAATTTCCAAGCTCAAAAGGTACAAGACCGCTCAGGTTGTTCCTTGAAACATCCAAAATCTGGAGCTTGTTATGCAGGCCAAGAACTTAAGTTATAATATCATCAAGCAGGTTGGAGAACAAGAGTAAAGATTAGAGTTTGGTACAGTTCCTAAGGCTATGGGGAATGCTGCCAGTAAGAAGATGTCCTAATAAGTCCAGGTGCTCAAGATTTATGCACTCGAAGCCAATCTCTTGAGGGATGGGGCCGCTGAGATAGTTGAGGTAAAGAGCATGCAAAAATGCATATTGCCAACAAATCCATGAATAGTATCATTGAGATGGTTGCTATAGAGGTTTAGGGTTTCCAAATGAATATGGTTCGAGAGGAACGGTCGAATCTCACATATGATGGTTGAACCCCAGGTTCAGAACACAAATCATGAGGAAACTGCTGAGGTAGATAGCCAGAGAGGAGATTCGCTTCGAGGTCGAGAATCTCAAGGCTCTTCAACAACCAAATATCACCAGGAATCACACCTGACAGACAATGGAACAACAAGTAAAAAACTTTAAGCTGTGAAAGCTCACCCATAAACGTCGAAAGGTGCCCTGTTAGCAGTCATGTTAGATGGGGGCAGTTGCGGACTATTGGGTTAGAAAGCGGACATGAAGTTGTAGTGACAATGGAGATGTTTATCGCAACAAACACAAAAATTGACACGAGGCAGTGACCTGTCATTTGCTCCATCGGCATTTGGCAATCAAATGCAAAAATTAACGACGACCATTTATGGATGATTCGGAAGTGGTTTCGACTGGACTCCGAATGAAAATTCTCCTCAACTACGTTTGTAGTATTAGCTCTAGATAAATAAACAAGGAGAGTTCCGGTGGCTAGTTCTCACAGGAAGGAGTTTCGATGGCTAGGGACCTGTAAGGAGAGCGTTCTGGCTGCAGGGAGTAGGAAGTTTCCGGGGAAAAAACTGAAAAGAGGAGGTAGAAGAAGGGTCTGCAACACGAAAAAGATTGCTACCTGCAGTGAATATGAAGTTTTCGATAGTAGGAGACTCTAGGGTTTGTTTCAAAGTTCTGATATCATGTTGAAATTCAGAATAATGCTTAATATTGTCATTGATATGAAAGGAGGTATAAATAACCCTTACATGAATCCTAGAATAGGAAAGACAATAAAAAAGAAATAATATGAAAAAAAAAGATATATCAACTAAGATCTCGAATTAATCAATTCATATTAATTATTTTGGAGATGAAGAAAACAACATAAAATAGGAAAGTCTAAAATAGGAAATGGAATAAGCCCAATGCAAGGAAATAAATATAAAATAGGAAAGGAAATAACTCATAATCTAAATAAATAATTTATTCCTCATAACTTCGGACATGAATAAATTATTTCCTAATATAACTTCTAACATGTTTTAAGTTGCTTTAAAAAATTAATTGCTCTGTAATGGTATGATGGGGCAGCTTTCTTCCGTGTATATTTTAGATTTATGGTTATTTGGCTTATTTTAACAAAAGAGTAGAGCTTGTTCGTTCTAACTTGTCTTCCATTGGCATAAAAAAACATGTTAATAGGAAGTAAAAGAAAAGTTGATTGGATGCTAGCATTCCCTCTAGCTGTTGAAGGTCCGTTAGATTTAAATTAAGCTCACCAAAATAGTTTATTTTTAAATTTATAAATTCTAAGGGCTATTTTAAACTTCCCTGGATATGGCTTGATGTCTTTTGGCGCTTGTTTAGTTCTGTGTTACTCTCTTTCTATTTGGCACATCTAGGCACTGATTTTCATATTACCAAAACTGAAATAGCATGCCATAGACTAAGAATTGCCTTAAAGGAAAGGATTTTTGCTATTCTGGTATTTCTATTTATGGCTCGTCATAAGTTGTCAAGAGACCTTGATTTGGAGTTGTTGCCTTATCCTTGTAGTTTTTGTTCCTTTAAATTTATCAATATGGATTTGGAAATAGTTTGTATTATTTTGAAATTTATGTTAAACCAAATATTGACTAATTGGAATTTGTTTTCAAGGTTTAGCTTTATTTTTTTCAACTGTTTACAGTGAAATGCGCTCGAAAAGGGAAATGCCATCTTTATACCCACAAGCTAAGGGCATCATACATGCATTTCAGGAGAGAGGAATAGAAATGGCAATTGCTTCACGATCGCCCACTCCTGACATCGCTAACACGTTCATTGATAAGCTCAGTTTGAAGTCGATGTTTGTAGCCAAGGTGATCTTTGTTTTTTTGTGAAATTTCCATTTTTGTGTGCTCATATTAAAAGCTTATGCAAGATACTTTCAATCTAATTTTTAAATTTCTAAGGGCTTGCTGGGATTAATTTTGTACTTTTGTTTTTTTATTATTTCTAAGAAAATGTTTGTTTCTGTATTTTGTTATATGTTTTTATTTTTTTGTTTATAAAAATAAATTAACATGTTTTTAGAAACACTCAAAACAACTTATAGGTGTTTTGAGTATTTTAAAAAACAGTCATATTTCAATCAAATATGTCAAACATGTTTTGTATCAAATCAAAATATAAACAAAATAAAATAAAACAAAAATTAGAAAATAAAAATAAAATGAACCCAAACGGCCCCCAAGAGATTGTGAAAGTCACAGTTAGTTTTGGAGATTTATTGTCTCTGGAAAATTCGAGAAAAACAAGTTCATAAATGGTAAGAAAAATGTCAGGGATTGTCCACACACTGATGAACAAACGTGCTTGCATGTTGAGTGATGATATAGGGCTCTATTGAACTTGATTGAGAGCGGTTTCTCTCGACTCAAAAGCTCTAGCTCATCTGAGCGTGTTCTGTATTCAGTTTAATTTGTAAGGGTTTCTTGCTTGGCCTGATAGATGAATAATCTGCAATAGTAGTTGAGAATGTTGTATTTGTGTTGTGGAGATTAAATCACAAGGTCTTGGCATTTCGTTTGACAAATTGGATCTGAAATAAATATAAATTTAAGAAGACAATGCCTAACAAGGGAGAGACGTGATTGCATAAGCCTATTGAGTAACAGCATATAAAGAAAGATGTGTGTGTAGATAGATTGACATCAACACCTGATAATTTGATCATGATAATGCAAAGCTTCTCTTGTTGACTAAGATAATTCTTAAGGAATTAAAAATTAATTATGACTAATTTATATGTCTGATAACATGCGCTCATCTCCTGTTTATAGCATGTGAAGCACAGCTACTTCAAGCCTAAACTTACTAGCTGTTTTCTCAGTTTGTAAATTGGAGTTACTAAACTTCTACAATTAAAGAAATAAATCTAATTCCATTTGTAAATTGTCCGGCTGACTTGGTTGATTATATTGAGTATTATGTGAAAAATCTCACCTGCCCATGCCACCAAGCATCAACCCTCCTAAGGGGGTGTTTGGTAGCCTACTTTTAGTAAAATTTAGTCATGGATTTAACTTAAATCTAGCCAAACACTAAAAAAAAAAAATAAATAAAATCCAATGCTCTGTTAAATGAATTTTTTTTGCATTCCGTCTCTAAATCTCGTTCGTGTTCCGTCTCGTAAATCTAGATTTAATAAATCCGATTGAGAGACATATGTAATCTTATTTCGTATGCTCTGTAAATGTGGTTCTCCCAATTGCAGTCTTATGTAAACTTTAAAATGTTTGAAGCAATCTTGATTTAGAATCTGGCTTTTAAAGACATCTTTTCAAGAATAATAGAAATGTAAATGTTTATTTGATTGAGGATAGAAACATGTGTGATTCATTTATACAATTACGAGCTAGGTACGTCTTGCTTTTTGTTTTTTTCAATTTTGATTTGCTTTATCAGAAACAGAAACTCTGTTATGAAACTAAAAAAACATATTTATGGAAGGAAAACATGCTTCTTCAGTGGCTTTGCAATTTGCTTATGTTGTATTATACTCATGATGGTTGGCTTAGTGATACTCGCCTATAAACTGTGAAATGTTACCGAAGTGCGGAACATGTAAAGTAGACGCTTTACCACCATCTCTCCTAACGTTTTTTCTTCAAGTAACATTCCTGACACTGTTATGTCTGCATTTCAAGCTAGCTCATAGCTAGAGATGCAGTTATTCAATACCGAGGCATAGTTTCCCATACCTTTGTGGTATTAATCTGTCTTTTTTTCTTTTACAAGCTATTCCAAGGGATTGTTTAGCAATCTAAATTTGCGATTTTTCTAATTTTATTCTCCAAGTTGCAAATTTAAGCTTAATTTTGTATCTTTTTTCTTTAGTCCTAGGACTTATTTATAAACCTTCTATTAAAGAGAGAAAGTGATGAACAAAAACATAAAAATACAAATCAACAAAAATACGGAAAATAGCAAGAATAAAGAAAATATAAACTACATCGAAAGTTAAAATTAACCACTTGTTGTAATAACTGAAACAATAAAATTAATAGTAACATTGTTATTATTAAGAGTTTCAATAATGCAGTCATTTCGGGTGAGAACAAAATGCCTTGATAGCTTAGTTTTAAAAAGAAGTGTCCCATTTGAAGCGAAGGAGAATTAGAGCGAGGGAATGAGAAGGAAGAAGAAAAAGAAAAGAAAAGAAGAAGAAGAAGAAGAAGAAAGAGAGGAGAGGTCGACTGGAGGAACCTCGTGTTTGGGTAGTAGTGGAACATCTCTTCAAAGCTGAAAGAATTAGATTCTTGGGAGAGAGAGAAGCCAAATGTGATCAAAGAATATGAGGACTTGATCAAGCTGCTCAAACATGAAGGAGGAAGAGGAGGATGTGGCGTGTTGGCTTTGTGCGGGAGCAGACATCGTTGAACAAGTCGAAGTAGATGACATCGAAGAACAATTCTCACATTTGATTGCGTGGAAAGAGAGATTTACCAGAGGGCCAACAACAGGCTCCTGAGTGAAAGCTACAACATAAAGGTTAGGCATGATCCATTTCGTGCCGAAAGAGTTGTCGTGCTCGAAGGAGAAGAGGAGAGGAGCCTTTGCGGGTTTCACTCTTGTAGGAGAGTTTAAGCCGAAACAAATTTTTTAGGGTTAAAGGAGCCAAGCCCATGAGGTAGGGTTTACTATATATACAAGTAAGTAGATTCAAATTATTGATTCATGCAAAATTTTAATTAAGAGTTATTTTACTTCTAAATAAATTCACAGTATTTCTGATGTATAAAAGTAGCTAATAGAGATGAGCCTATTCTAAATTTAAACCAGAGTTTGCAAAGGTATATTCCAAATCCGAGAATCACCAACCTTCAACCGTGTGTTTCAAGGCTTTAAAGCCAAAACCGCCAGCCTTCTTAGGATTACACAACCTTTGCTAAGAGCCCCATATATTCTTAGCACCATTCCTCACCCAAAGAAATTTATTGAAAAACCTCTCCATGACATTAATAGCACTTTTCTTCGGATTAAATACCTGCAAAACATATAGAGGAATACTCTGAAGCACACTAGATAACAATGTTATCCTGCCCCAGTAGAAAGGAGAATAAACATTTCTCCAATCGTTAATTTTACGTTTGATTTTATCAATAATATCATCCATATGAATCTTTTTCCTCCTGCCCCTAATCAAATTAACCCCAAGGTATTTAAGAGAGAGAGGGGCATAGTGATAACCTGTATAAAAAACCCCATAAAGAATAAGTTGTTACTTAACCTGTTTGCCAAAATACATATGACATTTGTCACAATTAAAAATTAGTCAATTTGTCACAATAAAAAATTAGTCAAGAACAATTCTGTAATATATATATATATATATATATATAGAAAAAACCCAAGGGCTAATATATTAAAGAGGAAAAGATACAGATGGGCTGTATGAGTGGGTCTAAAAGAAGGCCCAGCTCACACAATACAACACACAAAATTCCAAATAAAATAAGATACATAAAGATAAAAAAATCAAAAACCATCAATAGGCGTAAAAGACGTCCCACTTTAGTCCTCCCTCTGCCTCTAGTTCTCGGAAGGGAGCCGGCTAACAAATTGGTAAGGTGCGTACCATTACCCGAAGTAACCAAAATATCATCCATCAATTTCTGAGCTCAAGTAGGTCTCCATTCTTCTTCTTCCTCTTGGATGTGTAAACCGGTCATTCTTCATCTAATCAATGGATTGATCTAAAGGTGGTCAGACATGTGTAGGCTGTTGCACATCATGATTTCCATGAGTCTGAGTAACACTAACATTTTGCTCAAACTGATAAGGCGGTAGTAAAACAATAGAAGTATTGCCACCTATAATATCAGTGATAGATTCTAGAGTAGTGGGATTTGAAGAACCTCCCTCGCCCCCACGATAGGAGGTTCCAAAAACAGGGGAGCTACAATATTGTGTGGAGATTGAATGGTTGACATATTGTATGCGAGGATAATGACGTCTTCAGGGGTATTCTTTTGATGATCAATAGTGTTAATAACTTATAGCTGATCAGGAGCAGATGGATTCACTGCCTCTGGCGGAACACTTTATTTTTGGTCTGAGGTAGGGGTGTAGATGGTGGCATTGAGAATTAGAGTGGCAAAAATACGACAGTTCAAATAATACGAAGTAAAATACTCAATCACTATCTTTTGCCAATATCTATGGTGCTGTGTGCCAAATCAAATTTTCTCAGAAGCGGTTGAAGTGATGTTTCTTTTACCAGGTACTCTGGCTTTAGATGAATGAGAAAAATTAAAAGTAGGAATGTCCATTTTGAGTGACTTGCCATAAGTTGAGGCAATAGAGTACAACACTTTTTGAGCAAAGTAATGAAATTTCAGACCAGGGAGAAATTCAAACTAGAATGATTGGTGGTTCCGTTTGTGGGTCAAAATTCACAGACCATTTCAAAATCTTCATTGCTCTGTTATCAATCTAGATTACATTTCTAGCAAATAATCACATGTTATGCTCTTCATTATTAAGTTGAATAAGAACGTGCCTTCCATCTAAAAGTTCAATTTTTCACTCTCTCGCACCACGTATCGCATTTCGCTGCGCTCTTCATCGATGCGAGAGCCGAGATATCCATTGTCGAGAGTCGTACTTGCAGCGGTGCGACCTTCGTTGGATCACAAATTCTTTCAAAAAGACCTTAAATTGTTAAACATGAGACCTTATCTTCAAAGAATTCAAATGGCAAGGACATTTCAAAAATATTGTATTAAGAAGTGCAAATGGGATTGGTTAAAAAAAAAGACCTTAAATATGAGAAACGTGGACACCCACAAGGGCAGCAACATACGATCTGTTCGAA